ACCATACACTCCCCACTTCGTATAAAAGGTGAAGAGGTGGTTATTGTGAAGAACATCAAATTCCTGGAAATCCACATAATTAAAGAACTCACATGGCCCCTTAACACCTCCCACCCGGTGAAGAAAGCCCAACAGAGGATGTATGTTCTAAGGAAACTTAGAGGGAGCTGGACTCCCTTCTCAGCTATTGGTTAACTTCTACAGAGGCACAATAAAGAGCGTCCTCTGCCAGGTTATCATGTGGTATGCCAGCTGTATCGCCAAGAACAAGAAAGACTTTATTCGGGTGATTAAAACAGCAGAGAAGACCGTGGGCACTGTCCATCCGGACCTGGTTGCTGTGTATGCTGGCCGCCTACAAATGAAAACTAGGAACATCAGCAAAGACACAACTCTGGTGTCTGGGAGAAGATACTGCTCCATTAAAACCCATACAAATAGACTAAGGAACAGAGTCTTCCCTTGGGCTGTGGCCTCCATCATGGCCCCTCCTCTTTCCCGCCATGTGCTGACTCATATAATGTAGCATTATTGCACTTTGAATCCACTGCACTATGAACATGGACATTGTGCAATACAATTTGCTTATCCTTTTTATATATTGTGTGTTGTATTATCCTCCCTTTCCATCCATTCATTATCTACACTACTTATCCTGAACAGGGCCTCAGCCAATCCCAGCTGACATTGGACAAGAAGCGGGGTCCACCCTGGACAGGTTGCCAGTCTATCACAGGGCTGACACTTGGAGACAGACAACAACAACACACACTCACTCCTATGGACAATTTAGAGTGCCAATCAACCGAAGCTGAGGAAGCCAGAGACCCAGAGAGAGCCCACGCAGGCACAGGGAGAACAAGGCAACTCCGCACAGAAAGGCACCGGGTTGACCAGGGATCGAACCTGGAACCTTCTTGCTATGTGGTGACAGCACTAACCACTGCGTCACCATGCTTCTTTTATCCTCTGTTATCTCGTCTATTGCTGCTGTGCTGACTGTCAGAAACTTTGTTGTATGCTTACAATGACAATAAAAGCATTTTCTTATCCTATGTTTCACTGAAGCAAGCAGCCATTCTTCCACCTCTCTTCAAAAATTCATTGCTCCATAATCCATTGCTTTTACCCTGATCTTCACTCCAGTCTTTGTGAACGTTTGCATATCTCAGCCTTTTCTCCCTGTTCCCTTCTGAAAAAGAGATTTATTGGCTGCTGTCCTTTCACAAAGGCTGTTCTTGATCAAGCCTATTTGGACTGTGGAAAGATCAACTTGGCATCCAGGTGACTCTCCAATCTCAAAAAAGAAACCTTGAGAAACCTCTCATCAGATTCTGACAGATTTCTTGGTCTACCACCCCTGTTTTTGTCTTTGACCTCTCCGGATTCTTCATATTTCTTTAGAAAAGCTTGAATACCACTTCTGGAGTATCCAGTTAGTTTGCCTATTTTTTTTCCTGACATTTGTGTTTTTATTACTGTGTACATATTTCCTATATTTTCCAGTTGTATTCTGATAAATGCAGTAGATTTATAAAGTCATCATAATATTGCTAAAATAACAAATCTAATGGTGGCCTATTTTGCACACTACTATATGTCAGTGTGTGTTTTACAGGCACTGGATGGCCCTGAGGACAAGCCAAGACAAATGTTAATGCCCACAGAGGAGTCCAACACTGTGCTGTATGTGAGTAATTAATGTGAAAGAAAGAAGTATAGAGGGAATTTACACTAAAACATGGCCAGCTACTGTTCCCTCTGCTCTGTAACCTACTCTATATAAAACCTCTTGATTTGCAGAACAAAAACTTTGCATTTCACTGTTAGAAGTGTCACAGGGCTGTCTGACATAACCCATTATTTTCCTGAAAGCTGCTATTCATTTCCTTCTGTTAAACATTATCAACCAGTGAAACAAGACAGCCTTCCGCTGTCATACCCTTTGCTCTAAAGCCATTTCATCAGCCATTATTTTGAATTATTTTGTTCATTAACTGCTCAACAACCAACTGCTTCCTGACTTGTCAAATGATTCACTTCAAGATACAGACAACAGTCCATGTCCAAAACATGGGCTGGGTGATGACTTAAAACCAATTGGATAAGTCTAAAATTCTGTTCAACAGTGTGTGTCAATATTATAAAAATTACGCTTTAACAAAAGGCAAGAAGGCTATTCTCAGTCAAAAAGCAACACAGGTGATAGCTAACTACATTAGCAACCTTGAGTCATGACTCTGCCATAAACGCTGACATGAATAGTAATAATATATGAACAGCCGCTACAGTTTGACTTATGTGACTCCAGATGGCTAAAGGACACATCTCATTGTAAATATATCGATCACATTTACAAAGTTAGAGATAATGTATATGCATTTTATCGTTTATGATTTTAAAGATCTTTTATCTTACCACTCTTGTACATACTTTAAGCAGCAACATATTTTAATTAACAACAAACTAAATCATTGTACACCCTCACTAAATTACCAGCTGTAATTTATCATCTACAGTAAGTGAAAAACCAAACTAAGATTGTTCACTGACTTAAGTCAGATAAATAAATTCCAAAGAAATGAGGCAAAGCTCAGTTGTTTTCTGTACAGCATAGTGTCTCTCCAGCCCTGCATCTTCACTTCCATCACCCTATGTCATTTTACTTCACTTCCACCTTCCTAGTCACTGTATTTGTTACTTTTTCCATTTGTCGTAACAGCTTACTTACTCTTGTTGCTCTGTGTAACACAATGCATGCACACAAAGGATCCAACAAATGTTTGTCTTTTTGCTAATAACATCATTAATTATTCAAAGTGTATTTATATACACACACTGGCTACATCATCGTCAGCTCATATTCTCTTTGAAGAAAATAAAAGCCTTTAAGCATTCCCTATAATTATTTAATGCACTACAGTACATTTACCCTCCACCATTTATTAGTGTCTTGATAGTGAGTATAAATTATATCTTCTATATAGTGCCATCACAAAATATTACAGTGGAACAATGCAGTGTCCATGGATAAAAATGACAATATGTTAATGAGTTTTCAGTGTGAAATAGAGTTTATCCAGTGACAGTCTGACACAGTGTCAGTCCAGGTCCTGTCTTGACCCCATGGTCTGGACGTCTCTAAACAGTGTACATCCTCCTCTTATTATGGCAGGGGACCAAAGACGAAACTAAAGACTCAAGATGAAAGCTCAGATAAATGGGTGTTATCAAAGGAGCTTTATTTGTAAGAGTAAAGTAGAAGTCAGGTTCACCAGGAAGGAATGGTCCTCCAGGAATCCATGCACTGGACCAGTAAGCAGGGGAGAGGCGAGTTGGAGGTCCAGAGGTCTAGCAAAGCCCCATGAGGCTGATGGGCCTGGGAAGACATTGGCTGGGGGAACTGGTAACGGGGGAGTAGCAGACTCTGAAGCTGTCTGAATAGCAGACACACGACTGGAGGGGACTCACACAGTGAGATGGCGTCGTCAAGGGAAAAATGGGTAGATACGAAGAACACAGGTAAGTACTTTCCATTTCGGCTGTCTGAATGTGGCAAGAGCAACTAACTGACTGGCAAGGGAGACACAGCAGATGGGACTGATTAATTTCAGCTGTGCCACTCCTTGCCAGCCTGCACCTTGTCACTCGCTCCACCATCCCAAAGAGAGAGGAAGGAGACACCCCAGCGACCCCACACATCTGGTCTCCTAATGCTGTCCCATGTCCTTGATGTTCACCCCTGACTGCCACACCCACCACACCTGCCTTCACCAACAATTAACTCCTTCAGTACAAATGTTTGTCTGCTTTACTGCTCTACTGCCTGTTGTGCCTACCTGTAGCTTTGTGCGTCAATGTATGCCACAGTATTCTTAATATTCTTCCTTTGTATTCTTAGTGTTATTTAGCCTAGGGTACATCTCAGTTCTCTTTATTGCATTCATGTTTCCCCCACTTGCATCTTTACTTTGCATTTGCCTGTAAATTTTATTGAGTTTTAGCAAGATGTTCATGATACTAAGTTTCATTTTTGATAGTATTTATAGTTGGCATTATTTCAACAGCAGTTATTATATGTACTTGCATTGGATTCAGAATAATTTCATCTTTATA